TACGAAATAATTTTCTTGTATTTAAAAATAAATTCTAACTTTCGTTTATAGGAGCAAAACCGCACATATTGATCTTGTAAATTAGACAAAGTACTCATTTCGAATAATTTAAATTGTTATTATGATTTTCTGTATTATCCCATATGTTGTTTATTAGAGATGTAGCTGTGGGTGTGAATGAGTGAGCTGTGAACGTTTGTATTGGCTTGCTTGTGGGTGTGATGGGGTCTAGATAAACGTAGTTCTGTGGAGGGTGTGGATATAAATTAATACTACGGAAACATCCACACCCACACCCACACCCACACTGCTAGTGATTAGTGTAGATGTCAGAGATTAATTGTATAAGTTGACACAGGAGTCAGTCGAAGATTAAATATGTACGAACGAAACCTTGTCAACTCGTAAGAAAACGAAATAAAACGGTGACTTCCTTTTTTTCTAAACTGAAAAAGATAAAAATATCAAAGTACGAATTTATCTACATCTGAATTTCAAGAATAGCTTAATATATGAATGAGAGATTGCTACTGTTAACTTTTAAATCGATATACTTAATCATGTCAATAGAGATAATAGGACTTCATCAGGACGACTTTTCCGTGATGCGATCTAGCTCAGAGGAGTTCAGGTATATTTAAAGTCCAGCTAGACACAAACCGGTCCTAGTCGTAACTGATGAACTGGGTACCGGTCAGATAGGGTATGAAGAGTATTACACTCACAACTTACCAGTAGTAAGTGTCAAATGATAAATACTATTTATTCTGAGGCCTATCTTGAGGCACCAAAAATATTATTAAATATTATTTTGAGTTTGTCTTCTCATATATGTCATATACCACTGACTACTTGCTGCTGATAAATGAGCCTTATTCCGAATTCGCTTATATATAAGCGAATTCGGAATAAGGCTCATTGAAAGTATGATAGGGCAATTGTTCACTCCGCCGGGGATCAGCGTATCTTCAACCACGGTTAACAATAGTCCGCCATGAATGCTCAAGAAATGCATATAAGTAGGTGACTGCTTTTTGTATATGTGTACAATTAAAAATATTGGATGATTATCTTACTGGATAGCAGATATCGCTAAAGATTTTTTCTTGTTATCCTTCTTTATTTTTACTATTTTTGGATAACAATGGAAAAACGCACTCAGCATCCGAAGACGTGAAAGAAATTTCTATCGTGTTTAAACTGTTTTTTCCTTTTGTTTTGTCTACTTGAGTAGACAACACTCATATTCACATTCTGTGATGAATTTCTCTTTTGTTCTCTTGTCCTTACCATGACAATCACTCTATGAACAATCTATAAAAATAAAAGGTACAATAAGACCACATAAATATGAAACGAAAAATTAAGATTTACGGAGATGGTAATTAGAATGACTGTTAAATTTTTTGTAATACATTGATGAGTCATCAATGTTAGTCATGGTATATTTTCGTATAAGAGAACGAAAAATACACCATCTATATTTCACAACTTCAATGCAAAAGCAAAATAAGAGAATATTAAATGAGAAGGGTAAACGGTCGAGCCGCATTCTCGGGTTTAACCAACTTTCAACTTACCATTTGAGCCTGAAGCATTTGGACGCGGAACTTCGGTTTCGCAAGCCCGGGAATAAATCGATACTCGACCATTTTTTTTTGTTCTAATTGCGTCGATTTATCTCAAATCTTGAAAGTCATAATGACATTTTATCAAAGAGGTACAATCAAATCTTTTTTATAATTCTTTATAAAAAGGTTATTTTTATATCAAACCTGTCTATAATGATTCGTAAAAACGAAGTTTGTTTCGACAAGAATATCTTTAAAACTTTAATTATAGTAAGAAAAATGTTGTAGGTGATTGAACCATAAGAATAATAAACTAAACAACCACAACCACATCACTAACAGAAAATTGTAAAATCATTACATTAAAGATGTTAATATGAATTCAGTCATCGTAAAGTCTTTTTTTATTTACTGTATAATTATAATCAGCAGAAAATCTTTCCGTAAAAGCTGCTTAGAGTTTTGATTACAAATGCGCATGAGACCAAAAACAGTTCTGATTCAAGCCAAAGATTTACTTCTTGTTTCATCAACTTTATTGTTAAACTATGGTTCAATTCTATATTTTGTAGAAGAATGTTTTCTCTTCCTATCCACATGTTTTCAAATATTCCATTAAATTTTCTAATCAAATAATTTACCAAATATAACAATCGGCACCAAACTGATCCCGGCAATAAGTCTATTTGGTAGAGGAAACATTTTTATATAAAACGTAATATTTGAAACTTTATTTCAGTGCCTGCTTATACAAATATTTTCAATTTTATTACCGGAATTCGAATCGATCGTGCACATCTCTAGTTTTAATTATGCTCAATAAAAATGTTACATATTTTGAAAATCAAATTGAGAGTAAAGAAACAGTAAAATTTTATCAAGAGCGATAAATATGTAAAATGATACTGTATTTTTAGAATTATTTTGAAATAATTTCTATTGACAAAGAATTCGAATAGGAGTTTACAATGAAGTAAGAAATTAAAATATTGAACGTATAAGTCACATGAATGATATCGCATATCCAGCTGGATAAACTGATCGGTAAGTAAATTGAAGGTTCAGAGATTATTACTCTATATGCTGATATCTCTTATGCTTTGTTTAGAAAATCTAGAAAAGATTTCGTTCATAAACTTGACACCATCTTTAAAGTCTTCAGTTAAATTCGAAAAGATGTGATCACAAACTTTTTTTTCATTTTGAACTATTGAAATCCTAACAGTATCCTAAAATTTCGTGACCACAGACTTTTTCCTGGAATCATTGCCTGTTTGACTTAGTCTTAGTTCAAAAACAAAGATAAACCAGTCGAAATGTTTGATAATTCTATTTTGAATTCCGACAAGAGTCTACAACACTGTGACTATAAATTTCTCTCAAGAGTCATCAGTTTCCTTGCCTACTCTTGATTTAGAAACAATTGATAAACTTGTCAGAATGTTACAATTTTGTGGCTATATACTTGTTCCAGGATTAGTCGTTTTGTCAAGAAAAAATAGCGAATCCTGTCAGTTTCCTGATCATATATGTCAATGAGCTGGCTCTCAAACGTCCAAGATTTTCTCTAGAAAAGATTTTTAATAAGATAATAGTTCTAGAATAAAAGATCTAGGATAAAAAAGCGATTCACCAACAAATAACTTATATTGAGATCTATTCTAATTGGTTTAATGATGGCCATGAATTTAGTAAACTGGACACCATAGGAAAAAAGTCTGGAATCTTAAAACAATGTAATTAATCCATAAAAAATAAATCTTCTTAGTGTTCTTGTTACTTAGGCTGATCACATGTAGCATTGTCGACGAAGAATAAATCTAACATCCTTTGATCTACTTATATCGACCTCAAAAGTCATAGATGTGCCACTTTTTTCGTTTGGAATCGTGAATTCAAATTTCTAGATAAACTTGACATTAAGCTCAGTTAGAAGGAATTCGTTTAATCTTTTAAACTTCTATAGATAAACAATTTACTGTTTGTCTAGCTGAGTCCTTTGCCACAGAGTAGTAAAACTAAATCGTCGACGAATCCTACATGTTTTCTGATTAGTTCCTCGTCAAATATGGCTTCGAGTATCAGTTTTATTATTATATTAGTCTTCAGAATGTGCTCTCTGTATTTTTAATTTGCGGTTGGCTATTGAGTTTGTATTGTCGATGTTTTCACTTTGATTCGAAGAAAAACAGCACCGACAAATGAGTTGCACCAGTGGAGCAAGGACCAATTCGTCGAAGAGAAAGCATAGATCAAATAACTTGAAAAAAAATGCTAAAAAAATCTCAGTTATCTTTTTGATTCAATGTGAAAAATAACAGTTTTTGTTAACTTCCTTTTTTTAGTACACCTTATGTATTGATACCATCTCTACCTGAGAACATGCATTCTTATGTTAAAATTTTCATGAGAAGGTTGTAGGATGCAGATCTTTTGGAAATCATCTAATTTGGACTAACTACTCTCTTATTGATTAAAAAGAAACTGCTATCTAACAAAGTTCTATAGACAATAATCCACAGAAAACAGTAATCGTATTAATTAGAGTTTTTAGGTTATCATAAGCGTAAAGCTAAAGCTTATATTTGAGATGTAAACTTCGAAAAAATATCGTTGATTCTTCCGACCTTTACCCGCCTCATCTTTTTCCCGATTTTCATCAAACTCATATTTCACTGAAGCATAAATTATAAACGATTATTTTAGAAACAAGAAGATAACTCAAACAAATTCCACAGACATAAAATACAAGATATTGCAAAGGTTTCTTCTTACGTAAGTTTGATTCCGAGTTTGTAATAAGTCATCATTAATTTCACTGATTGCAAGAAAAGTGGCGAAAGATTTTTATATAGAACTCTATAACATACCATGTTATTAATCAAAGATTTATCCAAAAGAACACTGTGATGTGTTCTAGAAATAGTTCTAGCGTATTTTTAGAATATGTTTTATTTGAAACTAAGTCACAGAATTTAAGCTGAACAGTTGTGAGAATTTTTGGAGATAACTGAGCACATAAAGTACGATGATAGACTAGAACGTAGTTAAGGTAGAATGCTTGATTTTAGAGTCTAAGTAGGATAACTGTCCTGCAGCTTACATGAGGAACTAAAAACCTTTTTTTTTACTATACAAGAACTATCATCCACTTGTCTTCAATTATTATTTATCGACTATCACCTAGTGTTCTTCCAGCTGAAACAATGTTTCTCTGTTTCCCTTAGCGCTTTTGCTTCGGATGGGTGTGGTTGAACTGAAGAATCACGCTTATGCCCACACCCACACCCCACATTGACTGATGACAATATGAAAGATGCTGCTAGGAGCTAAGACTACATGACAAAATTTTGTTTTCAACATCTTTTATTTTTTTTCTTCGCAAGAATATAAAAACAATATAAAGGCTTAAAATGTTGACTTGGTTAGTCAACTAATTTTCTCTGACGCAGTCAATTCAGGTGAGACCGAGTCTATTAGTGGCAAATCTCGATGAGACTCAAGTCTATCTAGTCTATACGTTCTGCCTCCTATGTTTTCATCAGTTGAATCTTTTTGATGAGTATCTTCTGTCGTTGATTCATTTATTTCATTTTTATTATTATCATCATATTCTGGAACTAAAGTGAATGCACGATTTTGTGCTAAATCAGATTGCTCACGACGAAATTCATCTAGAGAAAGTATTTCACGAGAACTGAATTGAGATTTTTCATCAATAAATGATGTAAGATCTAAATTTTCTGGATCGTTTTCAAGAATTTCATTTTCTTCGATTTCAACTCCATAATGGTATTGGCCAACAAATGGCGGTGAAGTATTTTGATCAGTTAGTTTTGCAATTGATTGTTGTGATATCTTTGTTGATTCACTTGTTATAGCTGGAATAACTTTATAAATGCTTTTTTGTCTATGTGGCAAAATTTGATTTTCATTATTTGATGAAACATGTTTTTCATGAAATGATGCCTGTTGTACATGTGCAAAATATGAAAAGCGAGGTGGAATATAACGTGGTATCGAACATCTTCGTGCTAATGAAGATAGCTCTTGATCGACTTCAGTGATATCCCGTTGAATATCTGTTAATAATCGTTGACGCGTAGCACTCGCTGTAATAAGACGTGTATTATGCACTGATGAACGTCGACTCGGATTTGGCGGTATATATTTTGGTGGAAAAGCAGCAATAGTAAATCGACGATTTGGAAGAGGTTTTCGCTCATCAAAAATTGATATTGGTTCTCCTAAATTTGAAATGGTCGTTGATAGTTGATATTGATGTGGAAAACTTGGTGAAGTATATGTGGAAGTTAATGTTTTGTTTGAAGGAATGATATGTTCAGTACGTAAACATGGTTTATAATACTGATGGTCAGTATTTCGTGAACATGTTGAAATAGATGGAGGTAGATAAGAATACTTTCTATAATCGTTATTTTGACTATTACGATACATATCATTTATTTCATTTCAAGATAAAATATAAAAAAGAAAAAATGGTTGATTGTATTTTTAACTATATTTGCACATGCATTATATACGTTTTCTCTCTTGCTTCACTCATTGAAATGCAATTACGTACTTACTACGCTTTTACGACACTTTTGTTTTAATTGTTGTTTACCTACACAGCAGTATGAGTAATAGGTTGTGATGCTGTAAAATAGAGAATAAACTAATGTATTGTGACATATTGTTGTTTGATGTTTTGAATGATTATTTTACACCATTAAATTTTTTAAAACACATCGGCGCAATTCTACGTTAGTTCAATAGTCTTGATGAGAAATTCATAATAGCTATCTATTATTTAAAAAAACTCAAATGAGCAATATATTGTTAAATCTGCCTTATTGAAATCATTCGATCGGCGACTAACAGTATGGCGGTTGAGCATGTGTGATTTCCTAAGGTACATATTCGATATTTGCATTTGGATAATGAAAATTTAAATTAACTTTTGATTGGTTTTTGTACGATACAAAGGATTCAGCTATTGATTTTTTGGTATGTTTCTACGATGAATCTATTTCAAAAGAAAGGTATTCGTTGTTTGGGGTAGGCATGTACCGAGCTTTTTTTCGTTACTTTCAAACACTTTTAGTTCAAAACCTTCAGCTCTTAAGTGAAAAGCTGAATCATGAGGCCCAACTTATCAAAAGATAGACCAAACATCGCTCTACAAAATGAGACATACCCAAGCCCTGTGCAACAACGCCTTCAGTTTTTATAAGAATTTTACAAACAGACCCGGACCGAGCCTGACCGAGCCCGAGCCCCGAGCCTAGGCTCGGTCGGGCTCGGTTTGTAAAATTCCTATAAAAACCGAAGGCATTATTGCACAGAGCTTAGATATGTCTCATTTTGTAGAACGATGTTTGGTCTATCTTTTGATAGGTTAGACCTCATGATTCAGTCTTTCATTTCAGAGCTCAAGATGTTAATATAAAAGTGTTCGAAAGTAATGAAAAAAAGCTCGGTACATGCCTAGTTTGGGGTGTGGGTGTTTCTGTAGTATTAATTTATACTCGCACCCATCCTTTAAATTTGAATACTCATTAATCATAACGAAATGCAATAAAAAGATGTAAGAGCTTTGTTTCTAATGATTGTATAGAATTACATTTCATCGACCATGTTTATGAATGTTAATGGAACACATCTTTTAAGATTCTGCATCGTTTATCTGATGTTAAATAGATTTTCTTCATATTCTGTAAATTATTGTTCTCTCATGTGAATGATTTTGAACAGAAAAGAGTATAATTTGATTAAAATGCAGAGGAGATTCTTCTTCAATTCTTTATTGTCATTAGTAAAACTTTTTTTTCAGTGGATAATTTTACAAAAAATAGAAATAAGTCATTGATTTTGCATATAGTATTTTTCTTAATAATATCCTCAGTTCGTAAGCAGTATGTTTGTGGGTATGAAGATTCGTATTGATGTGATTGATTCTCATAGCGGTAGTCTCTTGTGTATGTGACGGCATGTTGGTTTCTCGGTTTCTGAGTTCAATCGAGTGTAGAAATTGACGATGAAAACCACTAAATGAAAGAATTGAAACATAAAATGGGCAACTGAAAAAGAAGTATAATAGAATATTAATAATTTCTGAAATGACAGTTTTCCAAGCATTTTGTAACGGTGATTTTGACCAAAGCATGATTGCCAACTGTGCATCAATTCTACTAATGACCGAGTGATTGACATGGGTCGATTCAACGATGAGTGGCGCAGGCATTACTTGCCGTTGAACGACATGACGAATACTTTCTTTAATTAGAACACTGAGTGCAGTTAGAGCAATCATTAGTAGAAGACAAGTCACAATTGCAGTACATAAATTATCAAAATACCCATAAACATCTAGCTGAGGTCTACATCCTCCATTAGCAGTCCTATACCAAACGAGCCTAGAATAGAGAATCACAATCCAAATTATAAAAGATGCTGCTTCCAACTTTTTGGCGAGACAAATGCGATTGCCTCATTGCTAATACGCTACAACAAAGAGAATTCAAGATCATATATCTTATGTTGATTCTCAACAAAATTCACTAATCTTATATTTCCCGTCCATCAAATTCAAAGAAAATTTTCAGGATGTAACCTGATGTATATTAGAAACTGTTGCTGCCATTCACTACTTCTCTATTTATTTATGATACTGTATTTATAGCTTTTGCCACAAGATTTGGATCTGTCCCTTATACATAAGAACGATTGTATTTGCATTATGTGATGTAGGTTTGTTGTCAGAAAAATAATAATTAAAAGATAGATCTACAGTATATGTATTATCCACGGAAATGCATGAAATTCTTAGAAATTGAATTCGCTACTCAAATATTTCTATGAATAAAATACGTACAACTATGGAATTATATTATTATCATAATGATCATTTCTGATCTGAAAGTGATCTAAACATCTCCATATGTGCTATAGTCTATTAGTATACTTTGAACAACTTTAACAATATTCTATTTAATTATAAGACGATTTGTCTTAAGTGGAATTGCGTTTCTCATAGAGAAACGTAGATAATGATAAGGCATGCTATTACACTATGCTTTTCAGCATTTTCACATGAACTATGACTTCTCACCAATGTGATTATTCTTGTATGTCAATGATTTTCTGGTTGAATCAACTTGTGTCGTTTCGATGAGATAAAATTATACTCTCTTATATTGACTATATGTCCTTCATTCAGGGGTGTGGGTGTGGGTGTGGGTGTGGGTGTGGGTGTGGGTGTGGGTGGTG